AACCAGCGTTGATAGGCTTGAAATCAGAGCATGCACCGTCTACTACGACCTTGATGCTCCGATCAGCAAGGCAACTGGTGAACCATTTGCACAATTTCTCGGGAAGCCCATAGGAAGGAAGCTTCGAAAGAAGTGCTTTGTGCCAGACCCGATCGAAGGCCTTCGCTATGTCCAAACTAACGGCCAATGGGAGGCATTGGACTATACTGCCTCTGCTCATCTATAAGTCAAACAGACTAGAAGATCACCAGCTGATTGACCCCGACGAAAACCGTACTGGCGGTCTCTAATCAGCTGGTGATCCTCAAGGTATCTCATAAGCTGGCAGTTTATAATGGATTCCATTATTTTGGAGAACAAGGAGGTGATGGCGATAGGCCTGTAGTTGGACGGGTCTGAGCAGTCGCTTTTTTTAGGGATCGGGTGGACCAAAGCTGTCTTACATGAATTCGGGACCTACGCCTTGGGAGTAGGAGTACCGGAAAAGACGTCTTTAAACCGATGCCAACTTCGGAGCACACGTCTTCAGCACAATGGAAGGGACTACATCGGGCCCACTCGACTTGCTGACGTCCAGGGAGAAGAGTGCTTTGCGAACCTAGCGCTGTGTAAATCGCACATCCGGCATGGAGCACTCACATCGCGGAATGGTCGGCGGTGTATAAATTCATAAACAGATCTACCCGCAGGATTGATTAAACGAGAACCAAGCCATTCAGCGTGGTGGGCGTTAAAATCACCGAGTATCACTATCTCTGCGGATGGGACCTGTTATAGCACGGTATCTGCAGCCATTTGGACGTGGTTGATGAGTCGGTCTGTGTCGTCATTACCGCTATGGGAACTATAGAGACACCCGTAGACGCGGTGATGTTCGTCGCTGTCTTCAAGACCTTCAAGACTGTCGAGGCGTCGAAAACAGATGTCCTCTCTGACGTATACGCAAATCCAGCTCGGGGCACAACCAAGTGTTCCAATTTGTACCCTGCGTAGGAGAGATATGAAGTATCAGCCGGAGAAGATACCTGAGTCTCTGTTAAAAAGAGCAAGGCCGGCTTCACCGTCTCTAGATGGTAATGGACAGCGTTAAGGTTGGACTGAATTCCCCTGATGTTGCAAAAATTCACGGATAGCGTGATCGCTGAGAGCGGTCGCCTTGATTGTATTGCTCCGCTTGCCCTGAGCAGCATAGTCGCGAGCGGAATTTTGCCCCCCCCCCCCACCTCCCAGAATACACGGGACAGCTTGAGCACCCACGCTCAGGAGTGAAGTAGTTTGGTCGTGGATGCTCAGCGAGGGATTCTCCAGGGGTGCTGGTACCCTTCTGGGGTAGTCTTTTATTTAATTCCACTACCATATGCAAAAGCTACCGCTTGGCTCTACCACTGTTAACCTTTTTACTGGAAATGCGGCATTCCATCTTAGTCCTCACGGCTGACAACGCATCTCCATTTTATTCGCAAACGAGGATAGATGTAGATATCTATGGGCCGCAACAAATACCATCAGGTGGAATGTGTGCTCGCTTGTCACCCTATCCTATAAAAATATATACTTGCAATTGTTGTCACTTGGTGAAACTTCATTCTTTATTTTTTATTTGGGTCGACACATGTAGGTACTTGTTGCCTTTACCATTACGGCCTATCTATTGTCCACTGCAGAACTGAGGCATTCCCATATATTGCCTCATAGTGGGGATATAAGTCATAGTTGTTACTCTCCGCAAGCGGGTTGACAACGTAATTTTTTTTTTAGTTCAATCATATCAGGAAAATATTGCTGCCAATCTCCCGGTTCAGCTTACTTTGAACTTGTTTCGCTTATATTTTAATTTATTAGTTATAATAACCTACCCGTTTCACTTCATGGCTACTTAGGGTATACAGGGTCATTTTTAATTTACTGAAAACCTTTTGGGAATATATTGGTTACATCATTACAAACAATTTTAGTGAGATCACTCTTCACAGAATATAATACATTTACGAAAAAACTACTTTTAAGGTTTTGTTGTCATGTCTGACTCCATTTAAGTCTGTATTTTGTAGTACCTAAACAATGTCAGAATAAATCGTCAAAGAAAATGCCTAAATAAGGCATTTTTACACTTGATACAGTATCAAACATTGTGTTGAAATAATTAAACATAATTAAATGAGCAAATGACATTCAAAAAAAAAAAACCACAAATATTAAAATTTATAATAAGTAAGAAAGACCGCCGGGCCGGTCGACGCCCGCGCTCAGCTGATTGCGTTGCGAGTAGGGTTACCAGATGAAAAAATTAAAAGTACGGAGAAGAGGCCTGATTTCCATTTAAAAATCCTGAGATTGTTTTACAGTTTGAGAAGAAAACCTTACTTAAAAAGGTATCTTCACATATTAAGTACGATAAAACTGTTTAAGTACCTACTTGGATAAATAAGTTTTGATTATAATTTTGGAATTATTACCAAAGGAAAATTATTTTTAGTTTATTTAACTTTCTATTAAGAGATCTTTTAAAATGTAAGCTGTATTATATTGAAAGTTCTAAAATCCTGAGATTTCATGAGATTTGCAAAATCCAGTCACAATCCTGAGAAGCGTCTAAAAATCCTGAAATCTCAGGACAAATCCTGAGATATGGTAACCCTAGTTGCGAGAGCCTACTAAACTATTCATCACTGAGCCTATTGCACCAGGGCACCACTTTAAATGACTTTACATTAACTTTTCATATACTTCTTTATTTTGCATAAAACCATTTGATGAACTATTTGATTCTTTTATTAATTTCTTTAAGAATTAATAGACATTCTTTAATAGACGTTTAGGTAGTTTTTTTACGAATACTGTTTGCTAGCAACTCTGCCTGCATCCAAGAGGCAACGCCTCAACGTCGGTTCATGTGGATTTTCATAGCACCACAAGTGTTCATTGTGCGAATTGAATAGTCCTATTCTGCCAAATGTTGCTTCATCAGTCCATAAAATGTTGGCTCGTTCAGCAGCTAGTAACCAGTTACAGAATGTAACTCGCGCTGGTTTGTCAGCTTCGCTGAGTTCATGAACATGATGCAAGTGGAAAGGGTACTTCCCTTCAATGTGTATGACACTCCATGCGTAGTACTGCGACACATTGAACTGTCGGGCTGCCTCATAAGTGCTCGCTGCTGGATTTTGTTCAAAAAACTTCAGTATGTCTTCCTGCACACGTACTGTGCGCCGCGGTGGACGACCACGATCGATTGATACAGGCTGGAATTGCCCGTAATCTCGCAATCGCTGTGTAGTACCTAGCATCGTAGCGTAGCTCGGTGCACGTGAATTGGGAAATCGCCTTGAATATTCACGGCAGGCTTCACTAACGTTATCATTGCAAATTGCTAAAATTCGCACCATTTCGGTATACTCAATATTTGAGTATCGGTATGCCATTGTAACAATGCGTAACGTTCGCGATATTAATCTCACAACGAAAGGAGAAAAGTCGCGGGCGCACAAAAGGCGACTGACCGACTGACGACACAGATAATTAGGTCAAGTTCAAATGAGCAAGCGCCGCCTCCTACACCCCTCCACCCCTACCCCGCCACGCGCTTTTTTTTTTGCTATATAGGACTATTGCCGTTTAGAAGGTCCAATTAAAATATTTTTATTTTTGTATGAAAATAAAAATTGAAGAAATATAAATTCTTTTCTTACAGATGTTGTTGTTATGATGTAAACAATATATTCCCAAAAGGTCTTCAGTAAATTAAAAATTACTCTGTATATGGAATTAGCCCTATAACTTATTGTCAGGTGACACCGGTCGATTTTAAAGTTAATAAATTAAAATATAAGTAAAACAAGTACACGAGGCAATCAAAGTAACAAAAAAGTGTGTGTGTACTTATGTATGCACGTAGGAAGTTATAATTCTTTAGCGTAACAAAATTAAAAAACTTGAGGAGACAATTACCCACTAAAGTTGTCGCTTTTAGGTAACAACTTCATGGTGTCGTTTTTAGGTGTCGGTGTTCGCGCGCATCATAAAAAATTCACTCTCAACATTTTTCCCAAACGCCCCAAAAGAAGTATAAATTTATAAACTATTACGAACTTAATTATTAAGTCTGCGTCGTTTATAAGTAGATTTAGTTAAATTATAGCCTATAATATACTTAGACGTGTATACTGACTTCATTAATTTAATGAGCACTCCCCGACCGCTTGATTAAAGTAGTTTATGATTTTGTTAGAGCGTGTAACACTTTTAATGACTTGTGGGCTGAGTAAGACCATATAAATATCTTTTTAATACAGTTGATCAAAAATGGCGTATTGCAGGGACGTTTAGCTTTCGGGTTGTGGGCTATTACATAAGCGAGATTTTTCTTTACCTTTTCCGAACTCGTGCGTTCTCTATCCCAACTGTCAAAAAAATGCCTATTAAAAAGAAAAAACCAACCACGAAGCTTTTACTAAAAAAATTCATAAAAGTTTTTATGATTCATGCAAATATGTCTAAAAAGAAGCTACTAATTTGATTCAATATTAGATTTAATGATTTGATTCAATGATTTTGGTTAGGTTTCATTTCATTTCATCTCATTAAATTTCATTTTCATTTCATATCAATTAAAAAAATCTACTGAAGACTTGACTGTATGGGCATAGTTCCCTTTGCCTACGCAGAATGGGTGAAGAAAACAAAAAAAATCTCTATTTATATTCTTTTTCGGTTGGCGCCATTTTCCTAAAATGTTCTTTGCGAGTTTAGTTGTTTGTTGCACAAAATGAGTAATTTCGACGATATTTTATTTGAAATAACACCACCGGAACTCAGTATAATTGCACAAAATGCTTCGGAGAACATTTTACCGGAAAAGTCAAGAAGTCGCTACATATCTATATACGACGAATTTATTGCTTGGAGAGAAAAGAAAAAAGCAAATAGTTTTTCAGAAAATGTTATGTGTCTCCGAACTCTCAGCAAAATTAAAACCTTCTACGTTATGGTCGAGGTTTTCGATGATAAAAAGTATGCTGAAAATAAGGAACAACGTGGATATAAGTGAATACCCTAAACTAAATGCTTTCTTAAAACGACAATCAGACGGTTTTACAACTAAAAAGTCGAAAATATTAACATCGAATGAAGTGGAAAGGTTTTTGAGCGAAGCTCCCGATAATTGTTATTTAGCCAAAAAGGTGATTTATTAATAAAAACTTATATTTTTCTTTAGTATTCAGTTTACTAAATCGCAAAATACAGTCAATATATTATTAAAAAAATATATTAATCAAATCCCTTTTTTTGTAGGTTGCGCTGATTTTTTGCGTTGTTGGGGCTTGTCGCAGAGAGGAGTTAGCCAATATTACTTTAAAAGATATTGAAGCCCATGGAAAAATGCTACTTATCAAGATTTCGAATACAAAAAATAAGATACCGAAAAGCTTTGTTGTTGAAGATTTTCTTAGAATAATGCAAAAATATATGAATCAGCGGTCCCAAAAAGCAAAAACCGACCGTTTTTTCCAAAATTATCAAAAAGGGAAGTGTACAGCTCCAGCAATCGGGATAAAAAAATTTGGTAATATGCCAAAAGGAATAGCTACGTTTCTTGGTCTACCGGATGCTGAGTATTATACTGGGTACAGCTTCAGGAGGACTTCTGCTACATTATTTTCAGATTCAGGAGCCACTTTGACGTCCTTAAAGCGACTAGGAGGTTGGAAGTCAGACAAAGTTGCAAAAGGCTATATTGCATAATTCAGTAAACAAAAAACTAGAAACTGGGAAAAAACTCACAATCCATTAATTTAAAGTCCAGTCCGTATCCTTCATATGACAATACTGAAGAGAACATTCGTTCATCTACCTTCGTGGATAATAATTCATCAGATTCAATCCCATCAACTAGTAAACGCGATTGTATAACACCTTTGACAAATATACATGAACAATCATACGAAATTAATAAAAGTTTGTCTCAAACAGTAAATATGCAACCTAAAACTTCCCCAGTTAGTATAAAAACTGTACCAATTTGAATGTATATGTGAATTATAACTTTTTTAAGAAATAAATGATTAGTTATTTGAGTTTATTGTGTTTATTATTATTTTATTAAATTGCTTCATTTTTTCGCAACTGTATTAAAAATAGTTGTTCAGTACATGTGCGGAACCGTCATTGCAACTTGTTCCGACTGTCACTGTCTGTCACCCTCACCTTTGGCTGCGCCTCGTCTCGGGTAGGCATTTGTCGGAATTCTTTGGAATGACAGGCTTTCCGCACTCGTAATAAAATATACTATTTATTACATTCTAAGCGCCGCGGTAGTATAAGCTATTGAATTTGACGTAAATTTTACAATACGTGTACATTCCAGGTTTGATCTTGGTGCCTGTGAACTCTTTATGAAATGGAATAAAATGGCTACTGATATATTGTTAAAATTGACATACAAAAATATTTACATACATTTGAATTTTGTCCCATGAAATTGTAGTACATAACTACTAGCTTGATGCTGCTCTGTTTTATATAGTGAGTGTAGAGAACTGGAGACCAGAACCAAGACATTCGAAGTCCTCAGGGGTGACATCCTATTTACATTTTGTTTCTTAATCGATGTAGATGTCTATAGGTCACAGCATCTTCTTACCATCAGGCGGAGTGTGTGCTGACTTGTCACCCTAATTCTATAAATAAACAACGGCATCGGAAAAAAATCTCAGAGTTTCTTGCTAGTTCTCTAAGGTCTCCGAACCTGTGCGGATTTTGGGGTTTTATAAGAGCATTATATGAGCTTAAATTAAATAAATAAACATGCGATGCGAAGCAGTTTCTTCCTTATATCAACTCAAAATAATAATAACCAGGCAACTATTTTGGTGTAGGTATTTTCAATTTAGTGTAGCGACGTTCATTGTTATTCGGGATATTTTTATTTAATACGCAATGCTTTTGAGAATTTTATCCTAAGCGCGGGATAATATATTTGAAGCACGTAACCACATGCCTGGTCACGGTAAATGAAAATTCATAGCGGCTGATATTGCCGACCATATTGAAAAGTAGATATTTAGATGAAATTTCAGTTTCACGTCTGCGAAAATTAAATTAACCCGGGATTATGTATAATACCTTTGCCTTTAATAATAACAATACTCCTTAAACTGTTCTATCGTCTTATCTAAATCGACACTACTTATAATAAAGTTATATTGAATAAGAACAGAACACATTAATTATTATTCAACATAGATTACAAGTAATAAAGCCATTTAAGCTATTACCACTGGTTTATAAATCCTCTGTCGTGGAAAGAACCAGTAAGAAACCCAACATGAATAATATAAATATAGTTACTTACAATGTGGTCAATTGAATTATACATTAGAAACAGACTGGTAGCAAGTAATTTTTTTATCTAATTAGACAGTTCACCTGATGGTGAGAGGCTACTCATGGAATATCAAGAAACGCTCCACCTGAGGTGTGGAACTCATTCTGCATACAATTTGAACGTACTCATTATTCTGTAAAACAAACAGTCAAACATAACAGCAAGACATACAGTCTAACACGACAAACAGTCCGCTTTGCTACACGCTCTAACATAAAGGGCACAGAGTTTTCACACTGACGTTTTATCAGCGATATTATGAGGAATATCCTTTTAAATATCTATTGATTCATTAAATTGAAATTAATAAACACTGTTAACACCGTTTGAAAAGCTAGGCTTATTTTCCAGAGGGAGAACGGGCCCCTGAAAAGCGATGAATCCCAAGATCATGTACGAAATAAAAGTTACTTAGCATATTTCGGCCATGAATTTTCAGAATGTTTCTTGAATAAATATTCGTAAAATTAAAAGAAATATATTTCTTGATATATTTATTAATAGCTGTTCCCCGCGACTTCCCACACGTGTAATTTAGGGTTTCAATTTTTTTGCGCGGAACCCTCATTATTTTTCTAAAATAAAAGTTATTTCTCAGGACATCAGCTATCTGCGAGTGAAGTCCTGTCAAAATCGGTCCAACCTTTCCGGAGATTAGCCGGAACAAAAAGACAGACAGACAGACAAAAATTTAAAAAATTGCATTTTTGTTATAAGTACCGTATATACTTTCATATGTATTTAATAAAAACCTGTAATTTTGACATCACAAACAAACACTTCAATTTTACGGACTAAGATGAAATGCCGCGTTTGCAGTAAAAAGGTTTGTACATAGTCAAACACCCAGACCCAGAACAATTATTTGTAGGCCATACAAACATTATTTATTCTTTTTTTCTTTTTAAAGATATAAAAGTTAATTGACAAACGAACATACATTCCACTTTATGGTAGTAGCTACTACAGTTCATATACACCTGTAATCAACTTCTAAGAAAGGAGGCTGCAGATGCGTTTACACCTATGAGGGCTTAGATATAATACTTTAAAGCCTGTAGCTATACTGGATCTCTATACTCTTCAGATCGAAACAAATAATCAATAACATTTCTTATCGCAGAATTCTGATTAATATTTAGTGATAGACTTGTCTTATTAGAATAAAAGAAAAATAAACATAAAATATAAGCACACATAAAATAAACCCGCAATATTTAAATTCATGGCAATCTAGTAAAATGTAAGCAGACCTTTGTTGGGTTGAATATGTGGTAAAAAGTTTTAGTGCCCGGCATTCAATTTTATGACACATTTAGTTAGTATAACACGTTATGGGTTGAAACTCGAATAAAGATGAGTTTACTCATGTCATATCATATCACTCGTGTCGCTCTTGTCAGACAGTTAACTGTGTGTTTGTGCGCTCTGAACTCAATTTACGAATACATAATTTAAGTGTTTCTTTTTGGAAATATTTTGTGATTTACAAATAATATAGTCTGACAACGTGTTTCATTAAGTTTTTTTGTGATTTATTTTGAAGTTAAAGCAAAATTTGCAAATTTTCGCAACTAATATCAACTGTATTAAGAGCGATGGTAAAAAGTAATCGACACGGTACGTAGCATCCTCACGGTTACGCGCTACACTTAACCGTGAAAGTCGTGTGTATTACTTTTATCGTACTAGCGCTGACAAACGCGCTACTAACACCACAAATTTGTATACATTTCCGGGTCTGTAAATAAATAAAGCAGCGTAATTAAGAGTTCAGATGGTTTGAAGCCTATTAGAGACAGTACCGGTACTACTAAATGTACGTCTACTGCATGTGAAAAAACCTTTTGCTCATTATGTATAAATGTTTCAATGCTCACTCCTGAGCGGAAGATTTGGAAATGTCCCGAATGCTGTGCCGCGAAAAAAAAAGGTGGGGATAACAGTCTCACTCCTGTTCGAGGTGGCTCAGTAAAAAACCAGATACTCTAGGGTCTGAAATGACCCAGCTTACTGAACAGCTGCACCTCCTTACCAGTGAATTATGCTCTGTGAAAACAAAATTAAAGGATCTTACTCAATCAATTTCTCATACAAACGACCGAGTGGATGATATTATGGGTATTCTCGCAACCACCAATGAGAGAATAGAATATTTAAAAAAACGTGAGGAAGACGTCCAAAACTTGCAGGTTAGGGTGTCACAACTGCAAAATGTACTAAAATTACAAACCCAACTAAATATGAGAAATGAAGTACAAATTGTAGGCATTCCTGAAATCTTGGGTGAAAATCTGAATCACACCATACTCGTAGCAGCAGTGAAACTGTGCGTTGACTTAAAAGATAAGGATTTAGATTGGGTAACCCGTGTGGGCCCACGTCGACCACCAAAAACCGTTGCTTTACCAGAGGATAGTGGCCGTATGCCAAGGCTAGTGGTCGTTAAATTTCTGCGTCGATCTAAATGAGATGAAATTCTCAAAGCTGCAAAATTAAGAAAAAAGATAAACAGTTGCGACCTTGAGGTATCAGGTCAAATCCGGAAAGTTTATTTTAATGAAAGACTAACCAAATAAAACAGAGTGTTATTTTGAGACACTAGACGCGGGTCCAAGCAACATGGATACAGATTCTGCCGGTGTAATCAAGGCTTTATTTATGTCAGGCAACGTGAAGGTAAATCTGCTCAGGTTATACGATCGCACAAGGACCTTGATTGTCTGCTTCCACCATCTTCTACAGCCTAGAAACATAATGATGTACATAACTATGAAAGACCAATTATTGATAAATATTTACTTAATGCAAGCTACCTTACATGACTTTACTGATGTTAAAGACGTATGTATGTATAACTGTAAGCCCTTTTGTTATTTTGAAACTATTTTAAATTGCACTTTCTGTCAGTCCAGTTTGTTCCCCAAAGTAAATAAACGTAGTTCATTCCGTCCAAAAATGTATTGTCTCAAATTAACCAACTCATTCTGGTTACCGGATAAAATTCGACTACGAAAATGATTGTGACTGAAAATTTAGGCCTGGAATTAGACTTAATGCAGGTTAAGTGTGAAACTATAAAAGATATATGTGATTGTAAACATATCTCTACTCCAGAATTTACATTTAAGCTATTTTTTCTTAATATTAGAAGCATAAGTTAAAATTTTGACTCTTTAATAGTAGCCCTCCAACGTTTGGAAATATCCGTGGATATTATAATTTTGACCGAATGTTGGCTCTTTGATAGTATAATTATACCGCAAACACCTCGATATAACGCCTTTAAAACAAATAGGCACTTAAATCAAAACAGCGGAGTTGTCGTATATCTGAGAGACATATGGCATGCCACGGT